CAGTTATATCCTGTACCCATTGCTACTATCACCCTTGACTATCTCTGTGGTTCTATCAGTTATATCCTGTACCCATTGCTACTATCACCCTTGACTATCTCTGTGGTTCTATCAGTTATATCCTGTATCACTGCTCCTGGATAAAATAAGTGTATTCTTTTACTCCTATTTACTCCACATACTACTCTATCTACATGTCCAACTAGAGAGTCACCTACAACTATAACTTCACTATCCTTTATGCTATCATCCCTTGTGATCCCATCTGTTTCCCTTACCTGCTCCCCCTCACCACTAGCAAGTGCTTGGAACTGGTTGCTTAACCTAAACCCAAGTCCATCCTTGCCCCTAAATGAATTATTTTCCAAGCTTTTAGCCCCATTTCCTTTCTTCTGGATCTGGAGTTGGTATCCTCTTGCAAAAGGTTCACTGTCATGATGTGCCATGTTTTCCTTTCCTGTGCCACTCTAATGCATCCTGCATGGTCCAGTTGTACCCATTCACATCCAATTCCATCTTGGTCTCACACTTTGTCTCTTTCCATTCATCTTGACCTCCAATAATGTTCTCTGTATTGCATGCTCTCTGACCACATGACCATAATATCTACACTTTCTTAGCTCCCTTAAAATCGTATTTGCCATACATTTCGAAATCATTCATTGCAGCTCGAAATTGGTGTCTGTGAATACAAGATATATATATTTTTTAATTATTTATCAAAATTTCACAGTTACTTGTGAAGGCTTATAGACTCAATGAAAAATAGAATTCCATTATTTTTTTTAAAGTGTATGTTAGGAATTTATTTAGAAAATATTTTCAGTGGTCATATTTAGTAAAACAAATTACAAAAAATTCATTTCCCTTTAACACTGTTAAACCATTTTATAACATTCACTTTATAACTCTACTTCTATCACTATCTTTATTCTCCTTAAGTTTTGTCTTCAGCTTTTTCATGCCAAATAGATAAAAAAATTCGTACACACACACACACACACACATATATATATATATGTATATATATAGATTCTTAGGTTGTGCACATGCTTTATCAAAAAATAGCATAATATGAACACCTTACTATCACCAGAACGTATACTTAAAAACTACTAATCATCAACAGGGGCGGATTGGCCTATCGGGATACCG